GGTTTGCAAGGAGACCCTGACATTTTAATACATGCATACAATTATTCTGCCAACAGCAAACCTAAGCTGAACATGAAGGATTTTAAATGTTCGTGATCCTTTTAAAAAATGAGGATCTGGTTCTGGATCCACTCTTCACCAAAAACCAATCAGTTCTTCCTTGGACCATAACCTACGTATCAAGTTTCATTGAAATATGTCCATTTGTTTCAGGGGTAAAATAAAACTGAAATTGCTGGAGAAACGCAGCGGGTGTGGCAGTATCTGCGGAGAGAAAGCAGGGTTAATATTGTGGGTCCAGTGATCTTTCTAAGGTGTTCAACAGTTTCTCCAGCTGTTTTGGTTTCAAATTTCCTGCATCCACCATTGTCTTTTGTTTCAGAGAGATTATTTACACACACATGGACAGAAATATTACACTGTCCATCCCCCAACCTTCAGTGGAAGAGGTAATCACTTGTGACATTTACAACATACATTTCACAACAAAGGTACAAAGTGAGAGGTTCGATGTAGACTCCAGCCCCTCAGTATACCATGGCAGATGGGCTTTAGGCAGCATCCCTTCCTGACTAAGCCTTTGCTGTAGCTGCCCTAAGCTTTATTACATCCTGTAGCACATAGTCCAGGACCTTCCAATGGGCCAGTCAGCAACACCTGAAACAAACATAGAGAATGCTGGAGAAACTCAGCAGGTCTGTGCAGAGAGAAACAGAGTCAACATTTTGAGTCCGAAATGACTCTTCTTCACCAATGCCTGGTCATAGCCAACGCTTCACACTGATAAACCAGTAGGCCAATCCAAGCCAGTAGCAGACACTATGATGGAGGAGTGATATAATATGCCAAATACAAGGCAGCACGATCAGAACCACCTCAATCATCATTTATACCAGTGAAAGAAAGCAAACAAAGGAAACACAGAAACTAGAGACAGTAGGAACTGCCGATGCTGGAGAATCTGAGATAACAAGGTGTAGAGCTGGATGAACACAGCAGGCCAAGCAGCATCAGAGGAGCAGGAAGGCTGACGTTTCGGGTCTAGACCTTGGCCTGCTGTGTTCATCCAGCTCTACACCTTATTATCTCTAAACAGAGAAACTATATTGCCGATAGACTGGCTGGCTAGGAAAATATCCATCTTCTACATTATCTTTATTCTTTCACTGGATGTCAGTATCATTGAGAAGGTGGGCAGGAGTTACCCATCCTTAATTGGAGTGATAATCCACTGCAATGAATTATTGCAGCCCACGTTATGGAAGCAGACCCACATCGATGGTGAGGAACACATTTCAGGATTTTGACCCAGTAACAGTCAAGGACCAACAATAAAATATGATGTGTGGATCAGAGGGAACTTATAGGTGATGGTGTGCCCATGTGTCTGTTGCCTTTGCTCTTCTAAATGGTGAAGTCAAGGGCTTGGAAAGCGCTATTGAAAGAGGCTTGCTGGGTTACTGCTGTGAATCCTGTAGATGGTACATACTGCTACCACCGTGCATGAGTGGTGAAGATTGACGATGGTGGATATAGTGCTTTGTCCTGAATGGTGTCATGTTCTGAATAATGTTGGAGCTATCCATCCAGGCAAGTGGGGCACTCCGTCGCACTTATGCCTTGTCGGAGCTGGATGGGCTTTGGGGTATCAGGTGAGTTACTAACTGCAGAATTAACATCCTCTACCCAGTTTTTGTAGCCCGAGCATTTACACGGGTCATCTAATTAAGTCAGTGGCAAGCCCAGGATGTTGATGATGGGAGATTCCACAATGGCAATGCCATTGAACATCAAGGGGAGATGCTCATTGCATGGCACTGTGTTACATTTATGTTACTTGCCTGATCACATTTTGTTCTTAGCCAACCTGGCCAAACATGCTGATAGTGTGCTTTTGGCTGTCATAGAGGTGTTGGAATAAAATTTGCTGCAAGTCATAATGTTCTTATTAAGATTAGTATTGACTAACAGTGGTGGTGGCATTAAGATTAGGAAATGTGTATATAGTGTAGTCAGTTGGAATGTGAATATGAATTAAGATGTAGCAGTTCAGTAATTAATGATTCAGTTTACTCTGCATGTTTGCATTTTATAGTAAGAGTTTTACCCAATCTTCTGCACTCTCGGTGCTTAGTATTCTTATCCAAAAGATCCAGCTGTTACTGCTGGTACATATGCCCTCCAATGTGGGTGAGGGTTAATACAATACTGTTTCAAACAGTAACAGGGCCCCAAATTCACTGTCAGCGATGAACTGCTTCAGAATCCATCTCAGCCCATTTCTCTGAGCAGACAACGCCATCTCTCCGGTGGCCCATGTAACTACAGGGCATGTCATTTATTTTATTCACCCACCTCCTAGATTCAGCATTTGTGGTAGGACAGGGTCAAGTGGACAATGCAGTGACTTAATCTCCTCTTTAAAGAACGCTGTCACTGCACATTATTCTATATTGAATCCCAATGTACGTAAATCCTGGGGCAATTACGTTTGTAACTATCATGGAACAGGTCAGGACATTTAACATATGCGTTTAAGCCCCTGGCATCTCTTCAAAATATTAAACCAGGGGTTAACAAAATGGTTTATTTTTAGTGAGATTATTTAGAATAGTCCTTAAACAGATGCTGTTGGCTGCATTATCATAGCTTTTTTGGAGGAAGAGGACCAAGGGGGAAAAAATGTTTACGTAGGTATTCTAGCACATTCTCAAAATGTCCCAAAGCTTTTCATAGCCTGGTGATTTTTTTTTAAAAGCAAAAACCCTGATGCAGGTAAAACCCTGTTAACATAAAGCGATGTGCAACAATCAGCAAATATGAGGAACCCCTATGGCTTTGGTTGAGGGGGGAAAGTTGGCACCAGAAATAAAACGATCAATAGCATTCACCAATTCCCATATACTGAAGCAGTCCATGCTTGGTGCACTTCACCCTTGGGTCTTAAAAGAAATAGCTAGTTGATGCATTGCTTCTACTTTTCCAGAATTCCATAGATTTGGAAAAGGTTCCATTAGATCGGTAAATGTAAAGGAGACGAAAATCAGGAAACCACAGGCCAGTTAGCTTATATTCATGAAAAGCAAAATGTTAAAAGCTATTACTTAAGATTATATCAAGGCTCTTAAAAACTCAAGGTAATCAGGTAGAGTCAACATGATTCTGTGAAAGAGAAGTCATGTTTAACCAATTATTAGAGTTCTTTGAGGAAGTAATAATCTGTAGATAAAGACTAACCAATAGATGTACCATAGTTAGATTTCCAGAAGACATCTGATAGTGTGCCACAAAGGTCACTGTGGAAAGTAAAGGTTCATGGTAGGGCAGAGGGTAACAGATTAGGGTTAGATTAGCTACCTGACAAGAAACAGAGTAAGCATAAATAGGTCTTTTTCTGGTTGACAAGACATAAATAGTATATCTTGGGGCTCCGTGCTGGGCTCCAACATTTTTACAACTTCCATAAAGGACTTGAATGAAAGAACCGAAGGCACGGTAGCTAAATTTGCTGACGATACAAAGATAGGAAAAGTAAGTTCTGAAGAGGACAGAAGAAGGCTACAAAGGGATAACAATAGGTTAGGTGAGTGGGCAAAGATCTGGCAAATGGAACATAGTAGGAAAGGATAAAATTGTCCATCTTGACAGGAAGAATTTTTAAAAATTGAAATGGTGAGAGGAAGCAGCGCCAAGAAGCAGAGGGATCAGGATGTTCTAGTTGTCTGAATCACAAATGTTTAGTATGCAGGTACAGCAAGTAATTAGGAAAACTAGTTAAATTATTAAAAATTCACTGCAGGAGAAATTGAGCAGAGAAGTAGGGAGGTCTGCTTCAGTTATAGAGGGCGCTGTTGAGCTCATATCTACAGTATTGGTGTCGTTAGTAAAGTGAGGGTATAAATGTATTAGAGGCAGTTCAGAGAAAGTTGACTAGACTCATATCTGGAATGGACAGGTAGCCTTATGAGGAGAGGTTAGACCACTTGGTCCACCAGTCCATGCTGAACATAATCCTAAACTAAGCTAGTCCCACCTGCCTGCTCCTGGCCCATATCATACTAAGAAGCTGCATGATTGAAATGTACATGATCCTTACAGGTCTTGACGGGATGGATTTAGAGAGAATGTCTCCTCTTGTGGAAGAAACTGAACCAGTGGTCACCATTAAAAATAAGAGATCACCCACTTAAGACAGATGTAGTGATTATTTTCTTAGAGGGTCTCAAGTCTTGGAACTGTTTCTCAAAATATAGTAGAAGCACAGTGTTTGAATATTTTAAAGGCAGATAGTTTCTTGGGAAACACATCAGTGAAAAGTTACAGGGGGGTAGGCGAGAATGTGGCGTGGTCATTACAATCAGATCAGCCATTTTCTTATTAAATGCAGAGTTTTGAGATGCCAAATAAGTTGTTCCCACTCCTAATTCAAATGTCTGTATGTCTGTTTCTGAGGCAATCCCAAGAATGGGACTCAGTCTAACACCCACTTGCAGTAACAGGAGAGTATAATTCCCCAATTTTCAACAGCACTTATAAATAGTTTTGTTTAGAATATTTCTAATATGTAAATTTGTTGAAAACAGCCTCCTTACCTTACCCTCAAATCCTTCTGTTCCCCCCCCCCAATGCTCTTTAAGTAATCTCCTCCAACTACACTCCTCACATCCTCCTATCCACCCTGTTGCTGCTTGCTGTCCACACTGCCACAGAAGACCGCTCCTGCAGCTGTTAATCCCTGGAACTCATTTGCCATTTTAACTCTTCATCTCCCCCACTTTACCCAAAACATTCTCTTTAGTATCTGCCTGCACATCACTGTACATTTTTTCAACCTCATTTAACCCCAATGACATTTCATTCTGAAGAATATGTAACTGAGGGGTGGCGGATTCTTGCAAATTACCAAGAGGCATCGTATTTAAATATTCTTTCCACAAGTCCAATCCAGCCATTTGACAAAATAAATATCTTTTGTTTAAATAATTATAGTTTGAAAAAAATCTTAGTTATCCTTTTATTATAATCACATTGTACATTGTTAATGAAAATCAAGATCAGAATTGCATAATTACAGATAACAGGCATACTGTATTACAGTTCAATCCTTCATATTGTAACATCAGTTGAAGTTTTGATGCTCACAGTCTCAAAATTGTTTATCGGTTTTCCACTTCAACAAGCTAATCATCATGACATATTCTTATATACAACCACCAAAACAGAGTTTATAATTTAAATAAATTGAAACATAACTGTTAAGTAAGGCAGTCAGTTCAATGTCAATTGGCAACTTCAGGTCAAAAGAAAATGATGAAAATACAATGAAAGTCCACTTGGTCCATCACATTTGCTTCTCTCTGAGGCACTGTGTCATCTATTTGATCAAGGATTTTAAAAATAAAGACCTAGATTTATATAGCACTTTTCTGGACCTCAGAAGGTCTCCCAGTGCTTTGTGGCCAGTCTAGTTTTTGAACTTTTCTTCTGCCTAGCCAACTGCTGTAATGCAGGGGAGACAGCAGCCAAGTAGTATGCAGCAATGTCCCATAAACAGCAGCATGAGATTCTGTTTACCCTTTCCATTCTGCATAAATACGGCCTTCGTTTTAATGCTTCATCTGATTGATTTCTACCTTTAACCCTTGCTAACAACTATTTTAGATAAATTCAAGTCTAGAAAAACAGGGTGCCCATTTTCTGGGTTAACTAAAGTGGGGTGGGAGTGGATGAAAAACAAAGTGTGTCGCAGTGAAAACCATTCCTCTTGATTCAGTCTCTCCTGTAACAAAGAACCAAAAAAAAACCTTTTTTTCCACTCATCATCATCACACACAAATACATCATTCATTGACACTGGAGGATTCCTATGGTACAATACTGCACTATAAAGCCTTGTGGAAACTGTAACACACACACACACACACACACACACACACACACACACACACAAAATGGATACTCAGCACATGATGAGGATGGGTCCACAATTTAGTAGCAATGCCTTACGTTGTCCATTCAGTTTGAAGAGGCCACAAATGTTTTCTCACTTTCTAACATATATTAACAGCTCTGTGTTGTCAACTTGGAAGAAATATGAAATCACACAGAGGCTTAGAAACAACAAATTACATAAGACAAAATAAATATATTCCTCAAAAGACCACCTATCTCAGATGCATTGGCTATTCATCAGGTCCAGGGGCTGGGTAACTCTGATAAATCCACAATGAAAGCAAATATAAGAATATACCTAGACACATTAAAACGTGTTTAATTCCACTCGGTTACGATTCTTATGATTGCTATACTTTGTAATTTACAGTGATCACAACCAGCCATCGTTCCAATACTGAGAACCACTACTGATGTTTGCACAGCCAATTCCTAATGTAATGACCCACAGTGAACTGTACCATTGTTTGAATAAGAAGCAATCAAAACAGGACCAAGTAATTTGATAAGAATAGAAGAGGATGTGAAGGCCATTCAGCCCATCCAGCCTGATTCTAGTTTCCACAAACCATGAATCTGCCATTACTGTGACAGCAGTCATCTTTCTCAAATGTGAAATGCAAATAAGTAACCATCTTTAAAGAGAAAAGGCAAGTATTGACGTTGATGGATGGGTACATTCCAAACCAAGATTTCTTCTCTTTTGTTCTCTTTCTTGGTTTTCTTTGTACAAAACAGAAGACTGTTAGGATCAGCCTCTGTATGTCTGTATAATTGGAGTGTAATTGGTGCAGCATAGCACAAAGCAGCATTGTTTAATTTTTAATCCTATTAAAAATAATATTCAGTCAGCTCCTGTAGTATGGTAGGTGCTTACAAAGCCAACTTGGTCAGTCTTTATTAATGTAGCCTTCCATTTACCCTTTCCCTTCTCCCAAGTCAAGCACTTAGCAGAAGTTGAACGAGTTGTTGAATTCTCTCCCTCTCCTGGTGGATGTAGATTTGTGTGTCCCAAAGCATGTTGATTAAAATAGCGTCGTCAATCTCATCCAACATCACATCCATCTTTAGTTGCGAATTGAGCCTGGGAGAAAAAATAAGGAAAGTAAAGTTGCCATAGTGCTACTGGACCATAGGACTATTCTCTCATTGGTGGTATCTTAAATGGAGGGTCACCATGCCTAAGGCAAGGGGAGAGGTTGAAAAGGAGACAATCCTTCATGGTAAGCTTAGCCAGTGTCAGGAATTGAACCCTTGCTGTTGGCATCACTCTGCACTGCAAACCAGCCAAATCAACCAACTAAGCTAAATGACAGACCCCCCCCCCCCACACACAGGCTCCCAAACACGACAGCATCAAACCAGCTTGATATATGAAGTTCATTCGCTCCGCTTCCTTACACAGTCAAGTCTCAGACACATTACCCACTGGTTTATTCCATAACCAAAGCTGCCAGCTAGCGCTGTACTGAGACAGAACACCAACAAACCTCAAAATGATGAGGTAGCAGTACAGCGTAGGCAGCAGGGTGAGTCACCAAGCCTCAGTGACTTGCACTAAGTCCAGAGTTTCAGTAGGCGTGTCTGATCATATTGTGCAGGAGTTGTCAAAGTTCCACCCAAAGTCTGAATGAAGTCAGTGGAGCGGAGCTTAACCATCCTTAGAAACTAAATGACAACTTTAGGAGAAGCAGCTTAGGGGCTGCTTAGCTGCATATTATGGAGCCTTCTGGGCCATATGAAAAAAATATAAAATCAATGTTATCATTACAGTGCAAAGTTCTCAATCTACAGATAACAACAGATCTTGGATTCTGATTGAAGATTAATCTACTTCATGAAACAGGTGCAATAAAACAAAAGCTGTTGCCCACAAAGATCAGACATGTCACATAAAATATTGGACCACACTTCAATAGCAATATCACCAGGCCTGTAAAGGCACTCATTACTCTTTCTGATTGTGCAATCTAAGTGGACATCATTGTATAACAATGTTGTCTAGCCTGCTGTCATTAAAGGTCCAAAGTGAAACAGCTGTACATCATGGATAGTATATCTGTCTCAAGGCCGTCACACTACAGACTTCACATTTATATATGTATATGCAAAATAGCCCTGAAAGACAGACAAAAAGAAAATGCTGATTCAAAGCAATACATTTGCAACAGGTCCAAAGCAGCCGATAAAAGGGATCTCAAGAATTTCCAGGCATCTATATTTAACCAGAATAAGACAACTGCAGATACTAGCAATCTGAAACAAAAACAGAAATTGCTCAAGAAACTCAGTGGGTCTTGCAGCATCTGTGAGGAGAAAGCTGAGTTACTGTTTTGGGTCCCGTGAACAGTTTTGATGAAGGGTCACTTAACTCAAAACGTTAACTCTGTTTCCCTCCTCACAGATACTGCCAGATAACGCTGAGTTTCTCCAGTAATTTCTGTTTTTCTTACATTTAACCGGATTTATCTATTCAGACCACCTCCTTCCAGCAAAACTGGAATTAATGGGTATTAGGGAGCAAACTCTCCACTGGTTGGAGTCATACCTGGCAGATGGGAAGATGGTTGGGGTTGCTGGTGGTCAATCATCTCAGCTCCAGGAAATCTCTGCAGGAGTTCCTCAGGATAGTGTCCTAGACCCAAACATCTTCAGCTGCTTCGATTAATGATCTTCCCTCCATCATAAGGTCAGAAGTGGGGATATTTGCCAATGATTGCACAACATTCAGCATTATTTATGACTCCTCAGGTATTGAAGCAGTCCACGTCCAAATGCAACAAGATCTGGACAATATCCAGCCGTTATCCTTTTTAAAAAAAGGAGTCTTAAAAAGGACTGGCTAGGTAAAACACTACCCCAATCTCAACCAAACTGCAGGCTACGCATGGTTAATGCTTAGAGGATCAAGAAACGAAATGTGTAACAGTTAATACAAAACAATAATCCAGTCTCAGAGAAACAAAGTGCTCTGTGGTCCTTGCATCATCGTCTCTGTAATGTAGTGTAAACCAAGGTGTCCAGGTGACACGTCCCTCCCATCTACCCATGCTGGAGTCTCTGCTTGATTAATTAAATCCTGTGCCTACCTGAAATATGGAATATCCACCATCTCACACCAGGCTCTGGCTCGATCCACTGCTCGACCATCAGAATCAGTGCACTAACAAATAGAAGGTGAAAGATCTCATTGCTACAATTGCTCAACTAATTAGTCTCTCAGTTAGTCAAAAAAAAAGACTCTGTTCTCTCACTGCCACACGCCATGCCTCGAGAGACTAAACTGCTCCCGAGCTGGCACGTGACCCAAACATTCAGAAGCAGCAGTGGGTTTGGGAGGATTATAATATCCTTTCGGTTCATTTTGAAAACATATACAATATGCATTTTGGAGTCTAATTATTTTGCAAATAATATTGTTAAACCTCTTGTAGACAAAGCAAATCATTACATCAACACTCAATACTTTACAGTCCTTGGATAGTCGCAAGGGTCTGGTTTATTTCAATCTCACATCAATTTGTCTTGAGCCAGTCATTACCTTGGCCTGCATTAGTTAGAAAAGACAGTGATCTTTTTTTTGAGACATGAATGTAAAAAGTGCAGGAATTGAAATGAGTGGAAAAGAAGATAATGCAAGTTGAATAACAGCCAAGCTTGCGTTTCAAAAGCCTCAAAGACTGCAGGTGTCAGATGGATTAAGTGAGGCAAAGGGCACCAGCTCCTGAGCGAACAAGGAGTTTGATCGGTAGATGCTTTTTTTTAGATATTGTTCTTTCATGGGATGTTGGGCCAGCACTTTTAACCTTCTCCAACTGATCTTGAGAAGGTGGCAATGAGCTGCTGCAGGTGCACCCATAGAGCTGTTGGAGGGGCAGTTCCAACACGTTGACCCAGCAACAGCGAAGAAACGGTGATATGGTTTCAAGACAGGATGGTGTGTGGTCTGGAGAGGAACTTATAGGTGGGGGGTGTAACAAAGCTTGATAGCATAGTTAAGTAGTAATACGAGCGGAAGTTCAGAGGAACATGAAACATAGCAGTGAATATCATGAGGCAGCTAGTCATGCAGTGCATCATTACGTTTGCATAATGTAGGAAAAAAACAGTGAATGAATGAAGAATCCGGTTCAGTGACTCTTTATTCCAATGACACCAAACGCAGTTAATGAAAACATGGTTAGCTCAAGGTGACAAAAAAAATCACACATATTGAGAGCTCCATTTCAAATCAATAAAGAGTTGGTGCTCACCATTCTACTGCACTCACAGCAGTGCCTCGGCCGTCCCATTCCCCACAAGGCAACTGAAATCCTGATGGAACCCAGGCAAAGTAAAATCTACCTCTCCCACAGTCTCTCCTGTGACCATCACCAGCCAGAGGGGCTGTAGTAGACCAGCTGTAAACCATCACAGCAACCACGGTTTCTTAGAACCTTTAAATCCCTAAAGTGTGGATGCAGGCTGTTTGACCCATCAAGTCCACACCGCCCGTCTGAAGAGCATCCTCCTCTTCCCCCCCATGCCCCCACACTATCCCTGTAACCCTGCATGTCCCATGTGTAGTCCACCTAGCCTGCACAACTCTGGACACTATGGGGCAATTTAGCATGCCTGATCCACCTAACCTGCACATCTTTGGACTGTGGGAGGAAATCAGAGCACCTGAGAAAACACATGCAGACATGGGGAGAACATGCAAACTCCACACAGACAGTTGCCCGAGGCTGCAATCGAACCCAAGTTCCCGGTGCTGAGAGGTTCCATCACACAGTTCGAGCAGACAGCACAGCTCCTCTGCTACACTCGACGCTGTACAAACACCAGTTTTAAGCACATCTAGATTGTAGTGAAAAGTGGATCTAGTTTGGATTTGACAATAAAAGCCACAAAAATTACAGGCCTAGTCAGTCCTTAAACACACCACTTTGAGGAATAGCAAATTCAAAGAACAACAAATGCTTACCTCATTCACATTATACTTACACAGTCAACCACCATCTTGCCCAGCTCTCTGGCACCAAAGACTGTTTTAGCCAGTTCCCAAGGATTGGAGGGACGAAAGACATCGACAGAGGTTACAGGTACCTGTGGCGGCTTTCCTGTTCCAAGTGAAACAACAATACCAAGCTTCTTCACCTGATTCTCTCTACCCTGTGAAACAAACACAACGTAACTAAAAAAGGGCAACCTGACAAACTAACACTGCATTAACAGAGATAGTAGGAACTGCAGATGCTGGATAATCTGAGATAACAAGGTATAGAGCTGGATGAACACAGCAGGCCAAGCAGCATCAGAGGAGCAGGAAAATTGACACTTCGGTTCTGGATCCTTCTTCAGAAATCATTATGCAGCAATCACTGCATTAACAGACTGTTCCCGAATTTCTGCTACTGACCCTGTAACATTTTATCGACTAAATGAGGATTTTGTTACAAGCCTTTTACAGACCAATTGCACGGCTCTGTCCAACTCATTAAACAAGAGAGAATGGAGTTCTCCACTGATTTCAAGAATTCCTTCTCCAATACCTGCATTAAGTAGGATACTTGTCATGCACCAATTAACTATTTATCTGCAAAGCCATCATACTTGATGTATGTTCAGTCTTGTCCTCATTCAATCTAAATGTCTGCTCGCTTACAGGAGGACACCAAGTAAGAATCCTATGATATTTCATTTTTGTTTATTCCCTGTCGTAGCCTAGCTCAATTATAGCACCCTGCGTAATACATCAATCGAGATCAGTAAGAAACAACGATCGTGACCCAATTAATGAATTGCCTTCCTGCACAGCTCTCAACATACATCCATTTACCCTCAGAGTCACTGGGAGAGGGTCAAGCATCATTGAAACAATCATTTAGATGGAAAATGCTTCCCATTTATCTCTAGTTAAATGACGTTGCTAGGAACAACGGGAAACATCCACGGCCACACTCAATGTTTCAATATCAGAATTACTCTTACAAGACTCTGGTAATATTTTAGTAGTGTCAGTTCATATATTGGATTAAAACGACACAGAATAATAATATTATGGTTGAAAATCTTTAAGCAATGTCACTTTATCCAATGCAGAAATATGACTAAAAGGACAAAGTGGTAAGAAGAGGCTTGGAATTCCCTTTGGGTGGATAACTTTTCCATCTAAAATACCAAGATTTCCAACAAGGTAGTGACTGGAATTTTCATGAACAATTTTCATTCCAATCTGGGAAGCAGCAGTGAGGAACTAAACCAGCTTCCTAGATTTGTCTAAGAATTAGCAGAAATTTAATGAAATAAAGGTAACACCCACTTTTCTCCTCAGGTTCTGACTGTATTCATGGATTTCGGTCAAGGCATCCAGCGTTGGATTATTTGCAAGCAGCCCTCCATCCAGGAAGCGGCCCATGGGTCGGAAGTAGGTAGGGGCTGCACCACTGCATCGAGCGGCTCGCCACACCAACTGGTCTGTTTGAAGGAAAGCCACAATTTAGACTACATACACATGACACACTGTTGCCAACTGACCACTTACGTGTTACTTTTTCCAAACATTTGCTCACCACATATGTTGCGGCACAGTGGCTGAGTAATTAGTGCCGCTGCCTCACAGCACCAGGGACCCAGGTTCGATTCCACCCTTGGGTGACTGACTGTGTGGATTTTGTACATACTCCCCGTGTCTGTGCGAGTTTCCTCTGGGTGCTCCCACAGTCCAAAGGTGAAGTCAGAAGTCACATGACACAGGCACAGAATTTTGTGCCTGTGCGCTTCCCTCCACTTCACCTGACAAAGGAGCAGCGCTCCGAAAGCTTGTGATTTCAAGTAAACCTGTTGGACTATAACTTGTGTCATATGACTTCTGACTTTGTCTAGCCTGGTCCAACACCGGCACTTCCACATCATCAGTCCAAAGGTGTACAGTTTAGGTGGATTGGCCAGGCTAAATTGTGCATAGTGTCCAGGGATGTGCAGGCTAGTGGGTTAGCCATGGGAAATGCAGGCTTACAGGGATAGGGTAGGCAGTGGGTCTTGGTGGGATGGATGCTCTTCAGAGGTTTGGGGTAGAATCAATGGGCCAATGGCCTCCTTCCACACTGCAGGGATTCTATGATTTTACATGCAGTTTACTCGCAAAGTAACATGCAATGATCGTGGCTTTCCAGGCGGTAATACCAGCCTGGTATGACTTTATAAAAAGAGGTTGTTTTTAGTTTATAAGTTCCAAAGCTCATCCTTCACTGAAGATGTTTACAAAAAATTAATATCTGTCACTCTTTCAACTGTCCACAGGATCCATCCAAGTACGGAAAATTATATAAAAAGAAATAAAGACTTCATAGTCTTTAGACATTATACATATTGTGCATTTTCAACAGCCACTGAATGTCCGAAAACATTTCACAGCCAATGAAATACTTTTGAGGTTGCTACTGAAATGTAGAAAGAGTGGCAGCCAATTTGCACATGGCAAGCATGTACACACAGTAATGAGATAATAATTAAATGATTTGCTTTTCTGATGTTGATTGAGAGATAAATCCCTGCTTTTCTTTTAAATGAAGTCATGAGGCTTTTACATCCACCTGAGCAGACAGGCAGGACCTCAGTTAGATGTTTCATTGGAAAAAAGATTTCATCTCTGACAGTGGTGCCCTTTCCTCAGTACTGCAAGGGAGTGTCAACTTGATGTTTTTTCTGTGCATGAGTCCTGCAGTGAAACTTGAACTGAAAACCTTGTGACTAAGGAGGCGAGAATGTTACCAATGCAGCCACAGCCGAGCTCTCTTACAGGAAGTAGGGGCCCACCCAAGGAACTTGCCTTTCACGAGGGGCATGAGTTAAGAGTTGTGGGATCAAATTCAAAATTTCCATTCCTGATGCAGATGAAGATTTGGGTAAAAGGTGCTGTAATAGATTGGACAGAATTGCTGAGCTTGCAACAGCTGTTCTGAGAAAACTTGGACTCTACTGTTCATTTTCAAACAAGCTTAAAAATAGCTAACGATCCAAACATCACAATGTGCAGGAGAAAGCAGCTACACTGAATAGAGACACCAACTAAATCTCCAGTATTTCGTGCATTCCACAGTAAATGCCCAAGGAAATTCCATTTTCATGGCAGCCCACATTCTTAGATAGTCCTGCATCTGTGAGGGATTGCATACATTTATTTTTAAACACTTTCTTTTAAAATAAAGGAAAAGCTTCTTGTAGCACTGGTGTCAATGTCATTGTGGTGGGGGTGGGAGCTGTACTCCAACAGAACTCAGCAATGAGAGAGGTTCTGTTGTACAGGTTCTGGAATGGAAGGAAATGGCTGCTGTCAATTTATGAAAGGTTTGTTAACTTTGAGCGGATTGTTTCTTCTGAAATGACATGGAGCACTATTCTAAAGATAGAGTGTGTTAATCCACATTGCTGGGCAAAGATGCATTTTATTCTTGGGATTATACCACTTGATCAGTTCATCAAGATTCAGCATCAAGCCATCTTTCAGGTCCAGCAGTATGGCTTTCTTTGAGGGGGGGTAGGGAGGTATTTGATAACTCAAGTGGAACAGGGGATGGGATAGAAGGAAAAACAAGGAGCTAGATAGAGGAGAAGGGGGAAGACAGAAAAGCATGGAACAAAACAAGGACATAGGAAACAAAAGAAGGCCAAGAGTAGAGATGTGAAAGAAATGACAAGGAAGAGGAGGAAGGAAGGAAGATTTTCTTTCAAATGTCTTTTCTTTAAATGCTCTTTACTGTAATGTTGTAGACATTCTCACTTTTGTTTTTATTCATTTGTGGGATGTGGGCATCTCTGACTGGCCAGCAATTATTGCCCGTCCCTTGGTGGTGGTGAGCTGCCTCCTTGAACCGCTGCAGTCCACCCGCCGTGGGTTGACACACAATGCCTTTCGGGAGGGAATTCCAGGATTCTGACCCAGCAACAGAAATATCACCATTCTTTCAGTAAGTCAGGATGGTGAGGGGAACTTGAAGGTGGTGGTGTTCCAACGTATCCCCTGCCCTTGTCCTTCTAGGTGGAAATGGTTGCGGGTTCAGAAGGTACTGACTGAGGATCTTTGGTGAATTACTGCAGTGCATCTTGTAGATAGTACACACTGCTGCTACTGAACTTGGTGGTGGAGGGAGTGGATGCTTGTGGATGTGGTGGCAAATCAAGTGGACAGCTTTCTCTGGACGGTGACAAGCTCCTTGAGTGTTGTTGGAACTGCACTCATCCAGGCATGTGGCAGTATTCCGTCACACTCCTGACTTGTATCTTGTAGATAGTGGACAGGCTCTGGGGAGTCAGGAGGTGTGTTACTTGCTGCAGTATTCCTAGCCTCTGACTTGTTCTTATAGCCACTGTGTTTATGTAGTGAGCCCAACAGAGTTTCTGGTCAAGGATGTTAACAGTGATGGTAACATCATTGAATGTCAAGGGGCAGTGGTTAGATTGTCTCTTATTGGCGATGGTCATATCCTGGCATTTGTGTAGCATGAATGTTACTTACCACTTTTCAACCCAAGCATGGATATTGTCCAGATCTGTTGCATTTGAACATGGACTAGTTCAGTATCTGAGGAGTCATGAATGGTGCTGAACATTGCGCAATCATCGGCGAACATTCCCACTTCTGACCTTATGACGGTGAGAAGTTCATTAACGAAGCAGTTGAAGGTGGTTAGGCCTGGGACACTATCCTGACGAACTCCTGCAGAGATGTCCTGGAGCTCAGATGACTGACTCCAACAACCTCAACCATCTTCCTATGTGGCAGATATGAATCTAACTACCTGAGAGTTCTCCCCCAGATTCCCACTGATTCCAGTTTTGCCAGGGCTCCTTTTTGCCACACTTGGTCGAATGCAGACTTGATGTCAAGGGCTGTCACTCTCACCTCACCTGCGGAATTCAGCTCTTTTGTCCATGTGCGAACCAAGGCTGTAATGAGGTCCAGAGCTGAGCAGTCCTGGCGGAACCCAAACCAGGCATCACTGAGCACGTTATTGCTGAGCAGGCGCTGCTTGATAACACTGTTGATAACACCTTCCATGCTTTACTGAAACATCTGGAATGTCTTGGGTACATTCATTACAACCAATATTTTTTATTGGTATCAATAACGTAGACTATTATTAAGTGGAGAAGGATGCCCACATGACATCTTCAGCACATGACTAGCTCAGCTTTGTTATACTGAGTAGTATATTATATAATAAATAAATACACAGTTGCATTACATCGGTGTTCCACGAGAGTCCATGGTAAGACCTTATGCTATACTTATAAATAAGTTAACATTACTGAATCATTATGGTACGTAACTTAAGTGACATCTGAAGAACATACTGTTAATTTCTCCAAGTAACAGTCGCTTATATCCACTTGGTAAGAGCTTTTCATGTGGATCAGAAAACCCGTTCAGGTATTAACTGCCTTAGATGACATTCTTTTCCACCTATTTGGTTCTTAAAGCACTTTGCATGATTTATTATTGGGTGGCTCCATCAGGTTATACCTACAATTGGGGTGTACAGTAACAGCTTTGCACTGTTGCAATTATTTTTAATAGTGCACAGGTGAATAGAGCAAATGAGGAATTTGCATGCGGAGATGTGTTTTAGAGAATTGCTTTTTGATGGAATACGATAAGGGAGAAAAGTGGAGAAAGCAGAGAAAGATTTCACATAACATAATTTCTGCATTTTTGAAAAACACAGAAAACAGCCCTGAAGAAAAGGGAAAATTAGTATTTAAAACATCAGGCAAGAGAAAAAACAGCAATTTAAGGCTTGGTACACACAAGAAATTTCTTTCAAAAACTGCAAAAAGACACTGCAAATATAAAGCCTGATGCAATGCCTTGACATTTTTAAGCATCTTTCTTTTTTAAAATTAGGAGCTTTGATATTAAATACGTGACATGATACTGTGCTATTCTGTTCCAAGATGACAATTACAGCTATGTCAGGAGTAAAGCAAGTCACTCACGCCTGTTAAACTACCACACTATACAACAAGATTAAGGTTAAAAAGTAATTAAAAATCTGTGCTTTCACTATATAGCTGCTTCAATGTTGCCCCTTCAACCAAACTGCATTATTGCTTTCAGTTCATTATCAACTAACCTCGGTAATTAGAGGTGAAAATACTGTCACATTTGTTCTTTGCAAAATTCGTTTTGAGTTACTTCCAATGAAAGCGACAATGTAAAATACCAACAATAAATGATAACCAATTTAAACAATAATTCTGTAAACAGGCTTATTGTTTACTTCAAGTTTTGATGCACAATTCTGAGCAGATCTACAACTTGGTAAAAAAATAAATTAAAATCTCACTAGCCCAGCTAGTGAAATCTACAACCTTTGAATGACCTTTTTTTTTTAAAATGGCCTAACAAACACTCACTTGTATTCAAGAAGGCAGCTCACCACACCTTTTCAAGGGCAATTAGCGATGAGCATGAAATGCCATGTCACTAATATCAACATTTCATGCCCAATTTTAAATTGCAAACTTTGATCCCAAGATAACAAGAAAATACAAGATTTTAGGCGGACCTCTTGTATCACGCTTTACCTTTAGGTTGGGTGACAGCCTGGAACTCTGCTGTCCTCATATAAGGTGGATCATGTTGTAGTTCTGGCGGGTTGTAGTTACGGAACAGATGAAGCTCTCCAGGATGCCGATCGGCCAGGGTTCCAGTCACCATCACTCTACAGGCAGAGGTGGGTCGGATGTGTGTGTGTGTGTTTGGGGGCGAATACATAAATACATTAACTTCAAACATGCTCCCACTCACCCAAAATTTAAATTTCCAACAATAATGCTTTAAAGTTCAGCAACAAAGTAATTGATGAAAACCATTCCCCAATGCAATGGTTAATATGAAGGAAAGACTCTCAATCATTTAGCAGGAGGAGTTAGCAAGAACTGCAGATGCTGGAGTCAGAAACAACACAGTGTGGAGCTGGAAGTGCAAAACAAGCCAGGCAGCATCAGAGGAGCAGGAAAGTTGACGTTTCGGGTCGGGGCCCTTCTTCAGAAAGGGGGAGGGAGAAGGGAGCTGGGAAATAAATACAGAAAGGAAGGGTGCAGCTGGGGAAAGGTAGGTGGGATGGTGATAGGTGGATGCAGGTAGGGAGTGGTGGGGATTGGTCAGTGGGAAGGCTACGGTAGATAGATGGGGAAGAAGATGGACAGGTTGTGTCAGGTCAAGGAGGCAGGAATGAGAGGGAGGTTTGGACGTGCGATGAGGCCAGGGAGTGGGGAGATTTTAAAACTGGTAAATTCCAGGTTAAGGCCATCGGGCTGTAGGTTCCCGACACGGAATATGAGGTGATGCTCCTCCAGTTTGCATGTGGGTCATTGTGGCACTGGAGGAAGCCCAGGATGGACATGTCATCAAGAGAGTGGGAGGAGGAGTTAAAATGGTTGGAGACCAGAAGGTGTTGTCGATTATCACGTAGAGCGTAGATGCTCCATGAAACAGTCCCCGAGTCTACACTTGCTCTCACTGATGTAGAGGAGGCCACTTCGGGAGCAATGGATACAGTAGACCAGGTTGGAGGGTGTACAGGTGAACCCCTGTCGGATATGAAATGTTTGCTTTGGGCCTTGGATGGAGGTGAGGGGGGAGGTGTAGGGGCAGGTTGCAGGGAAAGGTGCCGTGTGGGATGGGGTTAGTGGGGAGTGTGGAGTGGACGAGGGAGTCACAGAGTGAGCAGTACCCACAAAACGCAGATAGGCCTTTCTCACCCCCAGAAAATCCCAAAGCGTATTACAGCCAATGGATTACTTCTGAAGTATAGCACTGTTTAAATATTGAAACTAGCTAATGAAAAGCCAAGCAAGATCCCACACACAGCTACGTGATGACGATTGAATAATACATTTATAATGATACTGGTCGTGGGTAAAGTACTGGTCAGAACACTGGGGAGGTCTCTGTCAAAACAATGCTTGGGATCCATCATGTACCTCAGAGGGAAAATAGAGCCTGGGTTTAGTGTCAGTTATAAAGTCATAGAGTTGTACAGCACGGATTCAGACCCTTTGGTCCAACACGTCCATGCCGACCAGATATCCTGAATTAATCTAGTCCCATTTGCCAGCATTTGGCCCATATCCCTCCAAACCGTTCCTATTCACGTAGTCATCCAGATGCCTTTTAAATGTTGTAATTGTACCAGCCTCTACCACTTTCTCTGGCAGCTCATTCCATACGCTAAAAGATAAAATATTGGACACAACAGCATTCCCTCACTACAGGACTACTGGGTCAGTTTAGATTTAATGCTCTGGAGTGAGACTTGAATGGACAATTTTCTTACTAAATCACAATAGAATGCTACCCATAATGCACCCTACTTTGTGAATCTCAAACAGCGTTGCATTTCACAGTGCCCTGATCGAATGATCACTGACAGTGATAACATTAAACAATGTAATTGATAAACCAACTGAAAAGCATGATGTGCACTATCTTAGTTCACTTTTATTCTAAAAATTGGAGACTGAATTTTAACATTGTACAGAGGATTAGTTGGAGTCAGAAGCTCTATTTGGAAAATGGACAGTATTTTGCACAGAGCACAAGATAAAATATGATTGGAACGCTCTTCCTCAAGCAGCAATGGATGATAGATAGTTGTTAATTTTAAATCAGATTTTTTTTTTGTTAAGTAGAAGTATTAAGGGATACGGGCAAAAGGCAGGAATATGGAGTTAGACCACAGATTACCATGATCTCACTGAATGGGCTGAATGGCCTATTTTTGTTCCTACGTGCTATCAAGTTCCAGATTACAAAGTCAGGTTGAAGCTTATGTATAAATAAACCTGGTATGTCAGATAAATTCCGTAAAGTTTGAGCTTAAGCGCCCTTCAGTTCCTTTAAATCACAAGTTTTAATTACCATCCTAAAACTGAAAATAATACATAAAGGTACAAGGTAAAGAAGCCATAGTCCTACTGGACCACAGAGCTGCTCTCTCATTTGACAAAGAGAATTAGTGGCAGTTTAACCCAAGAGCCACCACGCCTCAGGCGAGGAGAGATGCTCAAAAGGAGAGTCCTTCATGAAAAACTCAGCCAGTGTGGGAATTGAACCCACATTACTGGAATCACAAATCAGCCATTCAGTAAACTGTAAATTGTTTTTCCAAACAAAAATCAAGAATCGGAGTAGGCCTTTTGGCCCTTCAAGCCTAGTTCATCATTCAATAAGATCATGGCTGATCCAGCTGCAGCCTCAACTCCATTTTCCTGTTCAACCTTGATACTCTGACTCTCTTACTAGTTAAGTATCTCTGTCTTAAAAATATTCAACAACCCGGTCTCCACACACTGTGTGCAAGAAAATTCAACAATACCATGAGCCTCCAAGAGAAAATTATGAACTCACTTTGGTTTGGTGACATCAGTCATTTTCGTATTTTCCCCAAACTCCTTCTTCAGAAACTCCTCCAGTGGAACTGATGAGAATGGTCTGGATCCTTTAAACACTTCGTCTTTCATCCGGAAATAAAGGCAGCGCAGATATTGCATGGATTTGCCTACGAGTAACAGGAAAGCAAAACCCAACAGTCAGAGCCTTAAGCAAAGTACGCATCACAGAAATTGGAAAAGCCAACATTATAGTTAACACAGAAATGTTCTGACAACATGAGACATTAACTCACTTCTTCTCTGACTGACTGAGTGCTGCCAGCATTTTTGCTCATGGATCACTAGCCCAGTAATAGAGTATAATCAATGTCGAAAACACATTAACGGAGGAATTGGGGAGTTATCAGCAATCTGGGGAGCACATTAAGGTACTATGGACTAATTATTTGCAGAAGTATAGACATGACACAATGGTCCAATAAAGAAGCAATGGAAAGAAATGATAAAAAAATGATAAAACAAGAAAGCATTTCTTCCACCTAAAATGTTGCTGGACACAAACTCTTAGTTTCATGATGGCTCCCCTTCAGTGAAATTGCATTACTGTTCTCCGCTCATTATCATCTAAGCTACGTAATCAGAAATGAAAGTACTATCACACTTGTTCTTTGCAAAATTCGTTTTGAGTTACTTCCAGTTTTGTGCATTGGGACAATGAAAAATACCAACAATAAATGATAATCAATTTAAACAATAATTCGGTATACATGCTTATTTTTTTACTCATGAGACACATAGATTGGGATAACAGAACTTCTCTCCTCACTGATTACACTGTACGCATGAGTCTAGACAAGTGCTTGAGACGAGGAAGATCCTAGCCTGGCTTTGTCCACATGACATTTCAAACTAGGTTCATTTTATAGAGATCAGAGTATTTTCCCTTGCCCATGGGCAGTGATTTAACTTGCAGTCCATTTAGAAATGCCTCAGCTGAAGCTAACTAACTTAAATGAGAAACAGCGTTCAAACAGGACTCTTCTTGTTCAATGCCAACATCAGCTCTCCTCGGTTCTGAGGAAGGGTCAGTGGACCTGAAACATTAACTCTGATTTCTCTCCACACATGCCGCCAGACCTGCTGAGCTTTTCCAGCAATTTCTGTTTTTCTATCAGCTCTCTTAGCATGGATCACAAATCAAAACAGAGACACCCTGTTCAGTGCTGCAATTGCCCAAGGTAGGGTAGACCTGGAATCAAGCCAAGGCCAACTGGTCGACAATGGCC